GGATAGAATTTGTTGGCAGGGAATAGAGGAAACTACCAGTTCCGAGTGAGTTTTTCCATAAGCAGCTGAGAATAATGGAAAATATATTCCAATGTCATCATGGGAAGGCGATGAAGCCAGGTAAATGAGCAAGTGTGGTAACCTTTTTTCTTTGTTGTCCAACTTTTTTAGAAGAAGGATTTTAAACAATGGTGAAAAGACGTTGGTACAGAATAATAAAAAGGCAAAGAAGTTAGCAAAGTAAGGGTTTGGATGGTTACGTTTTGTCTGTATAATAATAATAATAATAATAATAATAATAATAATAATAATAATAATAATAATAATAATAATAATAATAATAATTAACGGTTTACTGAAAGAGCATGGCAGCCGGAAGGCTAAACATATACAGTTCCATGTGTGTTTTATATTTATAATGTATGTTTATTTATATAACTATGCTGTTCAGGTGCTCATTTTGGGTTTGTTTGTTTGTTTGTTTTATTTATTTCAATAAATTTAAGTTAATGAGGAGTTCTGTAGAAATATTATGCCTGTATAACTGTTATTCAGATTGATGAAGCAAGTGAAAGTAAGTAGTAGTTTATGTGTGTTAAAAATATACGGTTGGGCTGCGGGCAAAATGACGTCACTTAATCGGGGCGTGAGCAGACCTTCTCTGTTCTCCCTTCAGGCCCTGCACCAGACGACAGACTATCACTTCACGTCATCTACGAGTTATGGAGGTAGCCAAAGTGTGCTAAGGTGTTTTCTCCGCTGTCACTGAATTAAAAACAAATACTCCGTCTCTGAGATGTATATACACACAAAATCTATGCCGATAAATCATCATACACATTTACATGGGTTCAGCACGTACACAGACAGGGCAGGTAAAGAACAATGTGCAGCTACACACAAGAATGGAGCGTAGGAGGTCAATTAGAACAAGGGGTAACTCAAGAAAGCCTTTATAGGGTTATTTCCGTATCCAAGTAAACTAACCTTAGTCACTTCACTGAGGGGACGCCACTTCTAACATTTTACTTAGCTAATGACAGACGATTAGACGATTTTATTCAGCACAGAGAGGAGCCCGTACACAAGAGGTTAATAACGAACTGTGATCCACTACAACCATGTATTGTATTCACGGTTATCATGGATGAATAATCAATAAGACTTCCACAACTGAACCCCAATAGCTATACAGTAAGCGGCCTCAGAACGACTTAACAACTGAGCATAACAAAAGTGACTGACCGGCAAGTAGTCTGACAAGTCGCGAAGAAAGACAATAAAGTAAAGTGGGGGTTAAATAAGTTCTATCCTTTACTTTCAGTATTTTCAGCTTCACCAAGCACCAATGTACAGTATAATGTATATTCAACTGATCTAGAACTTTACTTAAATCCAGGAGTCCAATAAATGGTGATGTTTATGATTAACACCACCACAACCCAGGCAAACAATTTATCTGGGGAATGGTGGCTAGTCAAGAGAAGAATAAATGGATCAAACAGGTCACCCATTTTTCGTAGTTGCCCCTATATTTATTAACGTTTTCTTTCTAGTACAAAAATATTTTCTTTTGCCAACTGAAATATTTCGCGGGGTAACCTTTAGGCTAAGCTTATCACAGTGTTACTTGAGGCCCACATTTATACATCTTCAATAACAACAATGGAGTGGACCCAAAAAAGATAACTATAATTTATTTTCATAAACAATAGTTTTCGTGTGGGTTTGTTTTTGTGGCGAAATCGTACACAAACTGCTTGAGTTCTTTTGCATAACCAACGGCAAAATAAAAACACCTGAGAATAAATTACACGAACAAACAAGACTTGGTAGTACAGAGTTAACGGGTGCACCTCTCACGAATCTGCCATGGGTTGAGTCCCGCTTGGCCCGGGCACACGTGAGAAGAGTACTCCGATTTCCTACTGTACTAAAATGGGGCAAATGATATTTGTAACAAAGAGCGGATCAACCGCAAGAACAGCTGGTAAGGTCCTGTCTGACATCCATAGAAAAGGTGCAACACAGAGCTACTAAGATGATTCTGGAGCTATGTCAAGTCGATTATCTAAGCAGAGCCCCTTGGACAAAGTACAATAGGACAGATCTCACTGAAACCTTCAAATCCTGAAAGGGATAGAAAAAGTGAACCCGGGACATTTTTTTGTGATGTCACGCACCACCAACACGAGAGAACTCAACTACAAGTTCGCCAAATTATCGTACAGATCGAGTATAAAGAAATACTTTTCACACAAAGGATGGTAGACTTATGGCTGTGGAATTATGAACAGTACTGGACTTCAAAAAAGACCCTGAAAAAAATTAAGAACAATGGAGGGATCCTACACAGGCCACTGGTCTCCTTCCCTCGGCATGGCCACCTCTAGTGAGTGGCCACTAGATAAATAAGGTAGGTAAATAAGGTAACTACAAAATAATAAATAAATTTAAATTACCGCCGACAACCAACTCTCTATTGAGTCATCCTTGATTCATTTGACTTATTGTTTTTATGCTTAAACTGTTGATATACATGAAAAACAAACGTGAATTTCATCAACAACATTTTGATGGCAACTTTCCACGCTTGCGTGGGTTAGTTACGATTATCTGAAGACAGCTTTCCATGCTGCACTGCCTCTTGTCAGGTTCTTAGCTCAAATGTCATTTCCCACAGCCTCTTCCCCATGTAATTTTCTTCACACTACGACTAATTTTTTCCATTCTTATGCTCATGATTCGACTCATTCACTCTTCTTTACAATTTTCCCTTCCCCCTAATTCTCAAACTAGATCTGTTTCTAGAACTGAAATCATTACATCTACCAATGCGGGTCTGTGCAGCATCTCCGAATAGGGAGGTAGAAACTTGGTTGAATTCAATAGTAATAAAACTCCGTATTTACCAATTACTCTTTCCAAATTAGATGATATCCCACCAATCACATTTCAGGACGCAATCATTCTGCTAAATTCTAAAATAGATATGATAGGCATCACCATTTCCTCTCATTATCATGGAAGCCAAACATCCACAACATCGCTAAAGCTGCCTCCCGAAAAATGGGAATGCTGTACAGATGCCGTAGCTACTTTACTCCTGAGCAGTTGCTTTAAGTGTATAAGGGATTCATTCGTCCTAACGTGGAGTACTGCTCTAATATCTTGGGTGGCTCTTCTTCTGTCCAACTATTAGATAGGGTGGCATCAAAGGCATTTCGTCTTATCAACTCTCCTCCTTTAGTTGATAATCTTTCTTACCTTTCTCTTCGCCGCAATGTTTCTTCACTCTCTCTCTCTTACAGGTACTTTAACGGGCAATGTTCGGTGGATTTGGCATCCTGTGTTCCGTCGGCAAGGCTGTGGGCTCGTAACACCCGTCTTGCCCGCGGTGACCACGGTTTCTCTGTGGATGTCGGTCACACTAGAATAACCCGTTATAGTACCTCCTTCTTTCCTCACACAGCCAAACTGTGGAATGCTCTGCCTTCTTCTTTTTCCATACTCATACAATCTGTCTCACTTCAAAAAGCTGGTTTTCCGACATCTTCGTGGTGTAGATTAATATAATCTTTTTCTTTTCTATTTTTAATTTAATTTTACTCTTATTTATTTCGCTCCCTAGGCCCCGTTGTGGGTCGATGACCTGTGCCCGGGTGGGGTATTCCCCGTAAAGAAAAGAAGATAGAATCCTGCATCTCTTGACCCAATTGGGCTCATTCATTATTTCCACATGCCCAAACCATCTCAGCCTATATCTAAGCAGAACGTTACTAAGACTCTTAGTATCTAGTTGCCCTCTTAGCTTTGAACACGGTTATCTATTTTTGAGTCGTATTGCAGTTCCACTGCACCATTCTCATTTCAACTCGCTTGAGCCTGCGTATGGCACCATCTACATCTATTACTGACCATATTTCAATACCATATAACACATCTTGCCAGTGGAAGCTCCCCTTGTCGTCAATAAAGTCAGCAACTCTCTTGAACTTCCTCTATCCACTTCCGGCACCCCAGCCAAGCACTGATCATGTCAACCAAGTAACAGAATTCATCGACACAGAGTTTATTCAGCCTTGCTAGGTCACATGGTTATCAGCACAGAGAACAATTAAAAGTCAACATCTTCCTGCAGTCCGCCATCCAATCCATTACATCTCTTGTGTACCCATAATCCACTCATTGCACGTTATCAAGTTGCTTCCAATACCTGCCTTGCAGACAGCAAATGGTAATTTTCAACTTTCCACCACGGGTTCCTCACCCACGTCACAAATCATTACTTTTGTTTTCGCCACATTCACTCTCAAACCTTTTGACTATTCCTTCCTCCCGTTTCGTAGATTTATATTCTGCCTCTTCAGTACATTTTACTGTCAGCACTAAGTTCAGCATTCACTGTATATTTTCAGCCTTCTGGCTGCCAAGTTCTTTCAATAAACCGTTAATTATTATTATTATTATTATTATTATTATTATTATTATTATTATTATTATTACAACAGTTCCCAAGGCAGACCAGTCCCAAAGTCCTATGATACTGCCTGAAGCATCATGATAAACAGAAGGGGGATTAAGACAGATGTCAAATACTTTCTCTAAGTCTACAAATACGAAGTACAGCTTTCATTCTTTCCGTAAATGTTTCTCTTGTAGTTGTCTGGTCATAAATATTGCCTCTGGCCCCCTACCTGGCATGAACCCAAACTGCATTTCGTTTGTATCTACTCAGATTCAGATTCAGATTTGCCCCCGAGCTAGTTTATTGGGCACCCCCTTACATCCTGTGCAAGGTGAAGCGCAGAAGCGTTTACAGCGCTCAACAGGGAAGTATGAAAAGTTCATACTTGCCTTTATGACTCGTACATTAAGGGAGTAAAAGTTTGTATCTACTCTCTCCCTTATCAATTTCTCCATCACTCCACAACTTTCATAACCTGATCTAACAGCCTCAGGCCCCTGTATTTCCTGCGTCCAAGTGCATCAACTTAAACCCTTTTTGTAGGTATTCATGATCACACTCTTCCACCAGTCGTCTAAAGTAGAACATTCAATCATGATTCCATTAGTTACAATCAACACGCCTACGTTGCCTGGTGCTTTCAATGGTTCTGCAACTATTCCTGAACTTCCAACCGCTTTTCCATGCTTCATTTTGTCTTCTTTTTTTTTACCATGTTTATTTTAATCCTTGGTGACAGTGCTTTTACTGGTCCCGCTACTCCTAGGCAGCACCTGTCCCATTCGTAGTCATTCAATATAGTCACCAGTAGTATTTCTTCCTCGCTGTCAATAATCACCGAAACGTGGTAATTGTTCGTGCACTCCACAACCTGGAATGCCTCCGGGCTTTCACAGGCCTGAATCTGGCCATGGCTAAGTGTATTATAAAGGTTGAATTAATAGGTTATGTATTCTGTCATGGTTATCCCTAAAAATACTAAAAGAAAATGGTATTTTAAATTTGTTGAAGAAAACTATAAAAGGTAATGGTAGTCTATGATAAATGGTAGACCTAACTAACAACGTATCGTCTGCGTAATTGCTCCCCCCTCCCTTCCCCCAGCTAAATTTCGTTATTACATCCTCCTCTTATCCTTCACATTGAACTTTAACGATGGTCTTCAGCGGGGAGAGCGGTGACGGGTTCCCTATTAAAGGAGCAAGTGTAGATGAAGAGGTATTTGTCAACAGAAAAAAGTAAAGTTTTTCTAAATGTACAAATCGTTCACCAGTTTTTGTGCAAAATATCCAGTGGATTCCCATTACTCCTTTATTTGGGCCGTCTGTCCTCTCCATGATCGATTTGAGGCAGGAGTCATCGGAGACACATACCTGCTTGGTACTGCATCGTATTTCTATCGGTTAAGATTTGTTGGAAGACCTGGACAAAACTCTGTATTGATTTTTATAGAGATATATAGAGCACACAAAAAGGGAATACTTTACTCTATCATCTATTCTATATAGCATTTTCGTAGCAAATATGAATTTTTCGAGTTATTTTGCTTTTTTTGGAAACATTCTTTAGTGCACATTCACTTACTTACAAAGGATATTTACGGCCTACGGGGAGAGGGGGTCGTCTTTGGGGGTGAAGCTCCCAGCAGGTAAGCTTAGGAGGTTTCTTTAGGTTTGAACAGTGTATTACACCCATTATTTTATACGCAGTGGCTCATGAACCTGTACTGGCAGGTAATTTTCCGATTCTCCGGGTTCTTCTGGGAAGTACGGTAATGTGAAAGAAAAGAATACAGAAAAGGTTCGTAACAGTTAAGCTGTGGGATCGAGACCACTACTGGGCCTTAGAACACCTCTCACTTGGCTTAGCCATGACAATACAGTATATTTGTTAATACTCAATTTTCATCTGTTTCAGCATTAATATCAATATCTGTTATAATCGCTCTCATCCTCATTTTCAGAAGCCATAAAAAAATAAATGATCACGAAGTGTTGCGGTATATCCCTAGAAAAGCATCAAGAGAATGTCTCAATATATCAATTATTGCGTGTGGACAAGATGCTGGGAAATTCTTGGCGTCCATTAGTGTAGTCGTTATTAACAATTCCGGGAACGATAATAAAATATGCATCTACGAGGGACGTCTTTCGACACGCGCGTTGGACCAGTCAGTGACCGGAATTCCGATAGCAGTGTGGAGTGAGTGGTCGCCCAGCCTACACCTTCAGTGTTGCTCTCCACAGTCTCCTTCTTGATCTGAGAGTCGGTAACGTGCGACTTGATGTGAGAGACCCTCTCGAGGGTAACTGGAGGAGCATACAAAAAGATTAAAAGGAGGGCCACCTGACAAAGCTTTGTAAGAGCCGTACACCTGTGTACGATGACGTGGCTGGCGCTGGTACTTGTTGGTATAACAGTTGGTCGTGGTGCCACAGATCAGATGTTGGTGTACCAGCCCGTGGCGGTGAAAGAAGTGCGTATCAACTGGACACAGGTGCTGCTGAGGGAGGTCTATGGCGTCATTGAGAGAGTATGTGCCATCCACTGCTACATGATCCCCAACTGTAGTGCATTCTGCTTGCAAGGTGACGTCTGCCGCCTCGGGTACTTCTTGGTCTCTCCTAACTACTTGCCCCAGGTCTCCCCGGCAGACACCATCGCCTGCCACACCAACCGCAAACACAACGTCGCCCTAAATGCCGACGTAACAACCAACTTACGTAGTGCTTACGGTCCCGCCCCGCTCTTACTGGACGGCATCTTCACTCAAACATTTGACGAGTGTTACCGTGGCCGGGGAAAAATATCAAACTACGTGGCCATTGACTTAGGAGAAGCTACACTGGTAAAGGAGGTACACATCTACCACTGGATCAAGGCCAAATCCTACACCAAATTCATCGAACTGTACCTAGAAAATCAAAATCCAATTCAGAATGGTTCCTTCGTCAACACCACTGACAGGATCGCCATAACAAATGATCTTGTCAGTGTCAATAACGTGTACACATTTGTAGTGGAACCACCTCGACAAAGCCTCTGGGTTGTACTGTACAAAGGGGAGTTATTTATGGGTCTGTGTAGCGTGGAGGTGTACTGAACCTTGTTAGTAAGCTGTACATCACTTTCCTCACAACAATCATCTCACAAGTGTATCGTGTGTGGTGCCAATATCCTACACCTCATCTCTCCGTAAAATATGAGGGATCTGTATCTCTCAGTAGAACGTGGGGGTCTATATCACTCATCTCTCAGCGGAAAGTGAGGGCCTGTATGTACCTCAGTAGAATGCGAGGGAAGTTTACCCCATATCTCAGTGAATCGTGAGGACCCATTACCTCATCTCTCAGTGAATTGTCAGAGATATACCTCACTTCCCAGTACAATCACTAGTATTTTATCCCCTTGGGTACAAAGAATTAACCACTGTAGTATGATGAATTAATCCCTTGACTGTGATGACTAAACCCCACAACTACGATTACTTAAACCCCTAAGTATAATGTCATCTTACTCAAGGAACAGGTCATCGTATTCAGACTTTATTCGTCGTGCTCAAGCGAATAAGTCATCGTATGCAAGAGGTTTTATATCTCAATGGACTATTTCGTTGTTCTCGGGTGAGGGGAGCGGGTTAGCTTCCGTACTCTTGAGGGTTCAAACATAACATTAACGCTTCTCAATGTGTTAAACTGGATTTATTATACCAGACTAAATTCGTTCCTCTAATTTGTCCTTAAAGGTTAACAAAAAATGTAATTGGAGCAAAGACGGCCAAGACAGTGAGGATAGAGAAATATATATAATCACTATATAAAGTTTCTCTTGTTTTGAACAACTATTTTTTACTACACCATATTTAGAGAAATTTGAATACTTAAGAGGAAAATTACAACATAATTGGTCATGAATGGTTAAATGATTCTTCTTTAAGCTTGTAATGATCTATGTTTCAATGATATTTACAGTATGTCAATTATCAGGGTACAAAAACGTGTGTGTGTTTGTGTAAAGGTAATACAGTTATGTTTCGGTCACACAAACCTTTGTGGTTATGATACAAGGTGACCAGACACGTGTTGATCCCCTGATGCTTAACAGTTACTACATTACCCCACATCATTATTATTATTTTATATATATATATATATATATATATATATATATATATATATATATATATATATATATATATATATATATATATATATATATGCATTACAATTGCTACATGGAAATTATGTAGGACAGACTAGGAAAGCATTGCAACTCAGAATTAAACAGCACAAGTACAATATTAGAACAGCATCTGAAAGCAGTGCACTGTTCGTTCATGTTAGGAACAATAATCACCCCATGGATTGGGTAAACAGCTTAAAAGTGCACAAGTCATTATGTGTCACATTAAGACTTTTGATCAATGATTCCCAGCATGGCTTCACAAGCGGGCGTTCATGTCTAACTAATCTATTAACATTCTTTTCATCAGTTTTTGAATCGGTGGATGAGGGGCACAATTATGATGTGGTATTTCTCGACTTTAGCAAAGCCTTCGACAGAGTCCCCCACGAAAGACTAATAAGAAAGGTAGAAGCACATGGCATTAAAGGTAATATTCTAAAATGGATTAGGGCGTGGTTACAGGACAGGAAACAGCGAGTGGGCATTAACGGCACTAAATCCCATTGGAGCAACGTCACTAGTGGAGTTCCCCAAGGCTCAGTACTTGGACCATTATTATTTATTATATACATAAACGACATAGATATCGGCATAGACAGCAACATAAGTAAATTTGCTTATGGCACTAAAATAGGACGTGTAATTAAATCTGAAGACGACTCCGCAAAACTACAGGAAGATCTAAAAAAAAATTTCGAATGGTCTGATGGCAGATGAAATTCAATGTGGACAAATGTAAAGTACTCAGAATAGGAGATGTAAACAGAGAAACCAGATACCAGATGAACAACGATGCCATTGTGAAATCCGACTGCGAGAGAGATTTATGAGTAATGATAAGTAGGAATCTTAAGCCAAGTAAACAATGTGTTTTTGCTCGTAACAAGGCTAATAAAGTACTTGGGTTCATACAAAGGAGTGTTAGTTACAAGACTAGCGAGGTCATCTTAAGATTATATCTTGCGCTTGTGAGACCTCACCTGGATTACGCAGTTCAGTTCTGGGTATTACAGAATGGATATAGAATCCTTGGAAAGAATCCAGAGGAGAATGAAAAGATTAATCCCGGGCATTAGGAACCTTGAGTACAGAGACAGGTTAAAGCATCTTAATTTGCACTTCCTCGAGAGACGCAGAGCGAGGGGCGACATGATAGAGGTGTATAAATGGAAGTCAGGACTAAACAAATGGGACATTACAAAAGGTACTCAAACTATCCAACCAGGAACGAACTCATAACAATAGTTTTAAATTAGACAAATTTAGATTTAGGCGCGAAATAGGTAAACACTGGTTTGGAAACAGAGTAGTGGAAGAATGGAACAAGTTACCAAATATTATCATTAACTCGAATACCCTGGATAGCTTCAAACATAGGTTGGATGCTTATATGAGCAATAGGGGTGGGGCTGCCCAGTATGGGCCAATAGGCCCGCTGCAGTTTCCTCCATTCTTATGTTCTTATGGTTGAAGCAAGTTTGACTAGAGAATTGAATTCTGTAAACCT